CGTAAATGTTTCCCCTGCCAGTTGTATCTGACTCTAGGGGGGCGCTGTTCATCTTTGATTCACAGCTGAAGAGCTTCTGGGGTCATGTGGCCAGCATGACTATATGTAGACAGAAAACAAATAACTAGAATGTGTTTCAGGGTGCAGTTGAGACTCCTGCACAGTAGATGTCAGGATTGCTGCACATATAAAGATCTTTAAAAAAAAACCAAATCTGTGTTTTAAAAATCTAAATGTTTAAAACAGATGTCTTTTAATGTCCTCTGATTTTTTCATTAGGATGCAAACATTACCAAAATGAATAGTCAGCCTCTTTAAAGAGCACAAAAAGTAGGAATCTGCAATCAGGGAATTTCCACCTTTTTGAATGCAGAGAATCTTTACTAGCAGTCAGCATTTAGAATAGTCATAGGTCTGGAAGGGACCTTGGAGGTCTTCTAGTCCAACCCTCTGGCCAAGGCAGGAGACCTTATACCATTCTGGACAAAGAAATGCCTTGAAAAGCTCCAGTGATGGAGCTTACACAGCTTCTGGGGTCAGGCCATCCCACCCATTAATGGTCCTCACTGTCTGTGGAGATTCTCAATTTTCCAGGTCAGGGCTGGCCCAAAGGTTCTGTTCAAAAGGCCACTGGACTTTCTTGGTTGTTGTTGATTTCTGAATATTTAAGATAGAGATATTAAATCTGAAGGATTTTTTAGGTATTAGGGACAAACCAATTGAAAAATGTTATCAGTTTATATGACGACTGCTGCGAGGATTGTACTTGCTAAGCCCTGTGCTGACTGTGGAAGAATGGATCTTGAAATTGTCTGAACTAGCAGAGACTGCAAAACCAACTGCTTCGATCAGACAATGGACTAGACAGGTTTATAAGAGACTGGAAGCCGTTGGTGGACTTTCTACCTGTTGAGTACAATAATAGATGGATTCTCTCCTCTGGAATGTTTGTTTGTTTAATATAGTAGTTTTGTCAAATGAGGATGGGAAAGCTTATAGCTATTTGTAGACCCATTATGTAAGAGAAGGAATAAAAATAATAATAAATAATAAAACTTTATTTTTCCTTTTTCTTCATTGTTAGTGTTGGTGTTCATTTTTCTGTTTCTCTGTTTTTATTTTATTTTATTCATGTTGACATAGGAAAATAAAGATTTTTTTTAAAAAAGAAAATGTTTTGTTTCTTATCCAAGAAGCTTCTTCAATTCTTCACTTAGATGAGAAGTGAAAGATTTTCAAGGAAAAGAAACACCTTTGGAACTGTGTTGCAATATGTGGATTTCTTTATTGTTAGGGGCTGCTTCTGAGACAAAATACTATATTTTGAATTTTCTGGATGACTGTGAATAAGTTCCTTTAATGCCAGTAGATAATTCTCCTGATGGTTTACCTCAGGATTGCATGCAAGTTCTTGATGCGGTTTACTCCAGCAAACCAGATTTGAAAGATGAGCCTTTACAAAATGCAGAATGAAAATAATTAGTTTATTGATGGAAGCAGCTACATCTTGGAAAGCCAGCATGAAATTTTGGGAGAGGAAGCATTGACTTCGAATACACCAGCTCAAAAGGCAGAACTTGTTGCATTAAATGTGCTCTGGAATTGGGAAACGGTAAAATGGCCATTTTTTTTCTTGACAGCAAATAAGCTCTTGGTGTTGTACATGCCCATGGAACTTTGTGGCGGAAAAAAGGTTTGATTACAGCAAGAGGTAAACAGATTAAATATGGAAAAGAAATATTGCATAATTTAGATTCCATATGAAAGCTAAGAGTGATTTACTAGTAGGATGCAGGCAGATGGGTTTTTGGACTTGAGGGAAGTGAAACCTTTTGGAAGAAGGATCTCCAAAATAAAATCTGAGAGAAGCCAGAGGTTGATTAGTAGGCTATATTCACATCAACACACTGCCTGTTGCTGCAGACCTGAAAGTCAAAGCAAGAGATTATCAATGGAGTAACTGAAACCTCTTTCAGGTTCTATATTGTATAAAAATCAAGGGGAAGTGACTCCTGATCCTTCAAGGTAAGCTTTGGGATTGCTTCATTGTTAGGTCACAACCAGCTCTGCCCTGATTTTCTCATTTCTCTCTTCCACCTTCCCTATGGAGATGCCTACAAGTTCAGAGAAAGGACTGTCTCTTGACTGTCCACCCAGAAGATACTGCGACAGAGAAGCACAAGGCTCTGAGGAGGCCAGGCGTTTTGTTCTTGCAAGAAAGAAACAGCCCTAGAAATTGACCTCATTTGCTATGGTTGCTATTTGAAGAAAAAACAAAATAACAACAACGAAAAGAAGGCTAGATGGATACACGAGCCTGGCTCCAGGGAATTGTTAACGCTTCTTTGCAGGAGGGTGTCTTTCCTGCGGCCCTTAAGGAGGCCGTTGTGAGGCCCCTCCTCAAGAAGCCTTCCCTGGACCCAGATGAACTGGCCAATTATCGTCCAGTCTCCAACCTTTGCTTTGCGGCGAAGGTTGTTGAGAGTGTGGTTGCACGGCAATTCCCTCGGCACCTGGATGAAGCAGTCTATCTAGACCCATACCAGTCGGGCTTCAGGCCGGGACACAGCACGGAAACGGCATTGGTCGCGTTGGTTAATGATCTCTGGAGGGCCCGGGACAGAGGTTATTCCTCTGTCCTTG